GTCGTGGGAGAGCGCTGCACCCGATCCCACTGACGCCGTGTCTAAGCCCGGCCTTTTCGGGACGCACGTCGTCGGGACGCCGATTCGGCTGCGATGAGGAAGCGGGTTGATTCTCGAAGGATCGTGGAAGGGTCGCAATCGAGTCTTGGACGCATCATCGGCGCATCGTCCACGGCGTGTCGGCAATTGACGAAACAATCATCGAAGACATTTCGAAATAGTTTGGAAGGATCGTAGACACATCGTAAACAAACTGGTAGCGAATCTTTGGTGGCTCTTCAGAAACGCACGAAGGGATCGTGAAGAGATCAATGCAGGGTCGAAAAGAGATCTTGAATGGACCGTACGCGGTTCGTCAACAAATGCTATACCCCTTTTCAGCGGCTCATGAATGGATCTTCTGAAGATAAAAGAAGCCTCTTAGGAAGAGCATAAGACCGTCGGGAGACCATTCAAGCACGCAAAAGAGATCATCGGTAGATCGCCAACAATTCATGAATGGATCTTTGAAAGAGTATTGAAGGATTGTAGATGGATCTGTCGTGGAACTTGGGCAAACCTTCGGATCTCTTCACCAAATACTTTCACGGGAAATGGAAGTAAGCACAACCGATCGTCGGTTTCTCACTCAAGAATCGTCGTGTTTCAGCCGGAGAATCATATTTACATCCTTGAAGTAGATACGAAGACCAAAATGATATGTCTCTGCGCTTGGTTGACAGTTTCTCTCAACTGTCCAATGATGGTTGAACTAGTTTTGCCAACTTGGTCGCAACTTGCGGAATGATCCCAGTTCTGCGTCGTCTGCCAGAGTAGTCAAGATTGGCTCCAGCATCGGACCGATGATTTGGTACATTCGCGGACGTGTCTCGCATGTCGTCAGCGCGCGGCAGCTGACTCAGCCCCGACAAACAACGTATCGAAGCGACTTGTAAAAGTTGTAACTCTTCGCCAACGATGCCGGCGTAACGTCTGTGAATGTACAAAATGAACGGCCCTAGGCTGTAAATCATCATACACAATTCGGCAGAGGATGCAGAACTAATCAACTTGCAAAAACGAGATCAAACCAAGAATGGATCATGGGCGATTATTTGGCTATGTGTAGTCGGATCAACATGAGATCGTCTAGCTATTGACGATGAAGCATGTCAACGTCATAGCCACATCGTCAGCGGATAGTGATTGGATCGTCTAGATTTATTGTCAACCGTTTGCAGAACTTGCAACTGTTTAGGCCCTACTTGCTAGATTGATGTGTTAAAAATCACGTAAATTATGATTAGAAATACAAGGAGATGATATCCTGTCCTGATGATCATAGAATATTGTCACCATAGCGCTATACCTCCACAATATTATATCTTATCAACATTTCCCAGCGGGACTCGAACCATGGCGTTTTAACCTTTAATCACAACGCCACATATCGTCAAGAGTGTTCTCGAGTGTTGGTAGTCGAAATTTCACACAATCGTATGAGTAAGGCTATCGTTTTCGGTGAATTTTATGTAACCTTGCCTTCCCTAAAGGTGTTCCCGTCCATGTCAAGTTTGCACGCTGATCTGTCATCGTTCGACTCCCTTTGGGGCTGTCGACAAGATGAAGACGAGTTTGAAGCTTCAGTTCACTCCAGCCGGGATGGAAACACCTTTTGGGAAGGCAAGGCTTTGTGCAATGCAATAGAATCGTCAGCGGAAAAATGTAATTACGAATTAGCGTGAATACATGTCATACAAATGATTTGCGAGTAGTCTTGAAATGCTACTCATGAAAGAAAAATATCACTTTTCTACACCAAAGCATAGGCTTGCCAACTGTCTCGACGCATTCAATGTATTGTGCCAAATGACAAATGTGCTCTTTCTCCGAAAGACTTTTGTGGCCAAGGTCTTTTTGGAACCTGCTCATCCCGCACAAATTCTTTCCGTCTCACGACGTAAAGCCGGCTACAGGTCCAGCCTTTTGTAGCTTCACCATTTGAGTGTCTATCTCAACACGATGACTGGACCGTCTGCCCTGCCCGAGAGAAGTCAACTGCCACTTTGACTGGTCTGTTGGCCAAACAGACAGACATACAGACAGACATACAGACATACAGACAAGTGTAGCGATGGACAAAGTACAGTTTTCCTCAAAGTGGAAACATTTTGATGACTGCCAACGAGTATGCAAACACGAACAGAAGTTTTGCATTGCGTACAATTAGACGCTTGTGTGAATAGCAAGTGAGAGGGAGAGATGGAGACAGAGAGGGAGAGAGAGAGAGAGAGAGAGGGTGGAGAAGTGAGACACAAAAGAGAGGGAAGCAGAAGAGCACAGGAGGGAAATGGGAGAGAAGAATAGAGGGAAAACGTGGGAAGGAGGGGAAAAGAAATGCGATCGGACGGAACTGATGAAGAGTGGATAAAAAGAGACTGTAAACCGAAACAGGTTGGGAAATTGAAAAGGCGCGACTTCACTGGCACCCTGCGTCACATACAGTTGTGGAGGTGCATGCAAAAATGCGTGGGCGCATGTGTGTAAGGGCTGGGATAGAGGGGGACTGGAGTCGGCCTCTGATTGGTGCAGACGGGGGCACATACAGAAAGCGGAAATGGGCAGCAGAAGAGAAGGCGAGCAGAAGAAAAAAGACGTCCAGAGTGTTCTTGGGTCGGTCACTCGAGCACAGGTGCGCTCAGCTGATGGCAATCTGATAGCGACGCCGCCCGCCCCACCCGAGGGCTGTGGAGGGTGGGACGAGACGACTGCTCGTGGGATGGCTCGACAATGCTGTACCTTTGTGTCTTGT